TAAAAGCAGCTTTCTACTGTTGTAAACACCTATTTCATGTAGCAGTGCCTATTTGTGTATGGTCAACAGGCAAGAAAAATACTAGAACATTCCACTTGTAGCACCTCACCTTGGTTTTCATTTGCATAATTTCCTGAGAAACAGCCTCCTTCCCTCAACAGGCCACACCCACTCCCTTTTTCTCTTTATTAATGCTATCCTAGTATACTGTATTTGCAGTGTCTTAGGTTAAGTTTTCAGTATGCTAGCAACCTACTTGGGACTCTCATTTGTTATACAAAAAAAAAAAAAAACTAAATTTGCATGATTTAGCTTTCCCTGGGATTTGTCTAGACTCAAACTTCCTTTTCTGATTTTAAAGGTTCTTTTCATTTCTGTGGCAGGAAGTAACAGGACACAGCAACAGAGGAAAGGGGTTTTTACACAGGAAGGACAATTCTTGAATAGGAAGCCAGGTGCGTTAACAACCTGGCAGAGGTAGAAAAGAAAAAGTGACTCTCCCTTATTCATGCTCAGAATCCCCTCCTTTGAGATACAGGATTCTGATCTATCTTCTCTTCTGTAAAGTGAAGGAGCTGAACTCTCTAGGTCTCTTCCTAATAGGATTGATCAATTACACAGGAGCATTTTGGAACTCTTTCCTTACACAATAGTTCATTCTTGTGTTTATATTGTTATGTTAAAGACAAATAGATTGTTAATTTGAAAATTATTTATCCCTCTCCAAAGCAGTTTCTAAAACACTTTAGTCTCTGCTTTGGGCCTGAAGTAAGACAGAACATTATGATGGAAGGGGATGGCAGTGAAAAGCTGCTCAAGTTATGGCAGCAGGAAACATAGGAAGAGAAAGAGGTTGGGGCCAGGGAAAGATATAGTCCCCAAGTGCATGCCCCTGAGGACCCACTCCTTCCAAGGAGGTTTCACCTTCCAGTTTCTATCACCTCCAATAATGACCACAGCTAGGAAAGCATGAATGAACCAATCCATTGATGAGGTCAGAGCCCTGTGATTCAGTCACTTCTGGATCACAAGAGTCCCATTTTTGAGCACACTCTTTACTTGCTATAGATATATTATATGCAGCTGATCCATCTTGTATCTTACCATTATATTTCCATTTTTTTGATTTTGTAATTATTTCACTCCCCTACCCATGTTTACTTCATTTTATATGTGCCTGTTACCAATTCATTCTCAAATTCTCCACAGAAAGGTTTATGTTATTGCCCAGCATGGTAGCACACTCCTATAATCCTAGCAGCTCAGGATTGCAGGAGGATTGAAAGTTCAAAGCTGGCCTCAGCAACTTAGTGAGTCCCTGAACAACTCAGCGAGACACTGTCTCAAAATAAAAAATTAAAAAAAATTAGAATTAAAAAGGCTGGGAATATGGCTCAGTTGTTAAGTGACCCTGGGTTCAATCCCTGGTACAAAAAAAAAGTTTGTTTTATTAATATTGTCATTCCATTAATGAATGACAGATTTCTTTTTTTCCTTGATGATAGCTTCACTAATCCTTTTCCCTGCTCTAGTGTGGATGAGTTGCTCTGCAGGCAAGCTGCATGGCTATTATCTTGGGCTTTCCTTCATGATTATGAGGATTAATTTAATGTGCCAACTTGGCTGGGCTAAGGGATGCTCAGAGAGCTGATAAAACATTATTTCTCTCTGTGTTGGCTTCTAGTTTAGCATTTGAATTGGTAAACTGAGTAAAGATCAACTTCATTAATGTGGGTAGGCTCATTCAATCCATGAAGAGCCTGAATGGAAGAAAAAGTGGAAATTTGCTCTTTCTGCTTAAACTAGTATATCCATCTTTTGCCCTGGACTTTGATGCTCCAGGTTCTTACTTGGACTATGACAGAAAATTGGCTTCTCTGGGTCTTTGGGTCTGAACTGGAAATATACTACCCATCTTTCTTGGGTTTCCAGCTTGCAGACAGCAGATTGTGAGAATTCTCAGCCTCCATAGTCACCTAAACCAATCCTTCATAATAAATCCCTGTGAGTGGGTGTACATACTAATAACTCTGTCTCTCTGTAGAGCTCTAATAAACCAATAACTGTGAAATTATATTAATCTTGTCTATGCTGGATTCTGTTTCCTTGATATAATCTAACTCCTTCTCAGCTAACTTCCTAATTTTGATGGAACACATTTTCTAGTGGCTCTTAAGAAAGTATATATGGAAAGCACAATTTTTTTGATAGAACTTATGTAACAGATATATAGGTAGATAGATTAGATACATAAATGGATGGATAAATTTGGTGGTGCTGGGGATCAAACCCAGGTCATTGTATATACTAGACAAGTGCTTTACCACTATGCTATACCTACAGCCCTAAAACATTTTTATTATACCTTCACTTTTCATTGACAATTTGGTTTTATCGGTTTATTTGTGTCTCTCCCCCTCAAAAAAAGATATGTTGAAATCAATCCCTGTACCTCAGAGGGTGAACATATTTGGAAATGGGGCCATTGATGTAACTAATGATGTAACTAATTAAGATTAAGTCATACTGGAGTAGGTAATATCCTTATAAGATGTCCACGGGGAATGTCAAGGCACAGTGAAAGCAAATATTGGAATAATGTAGCTTCAAGTCAGGGATCATCAAAGATTGCCAGGAATCTACTAGAAAGCTAGGAAAATCCAAAAAAAAAAAAAAGATTCTTTTACAGCTTTAGAGTATACTACCTTGATTTCTGACTTCTTGCTACCAGAAATTTGAGACAATAAATATCTCTTGTTTTAAGCCAACCAATTTGTCACACTTTATTATGGCTGTCCTAGAAAGCTAATACAGTTGAATATAGAATTAAAGATTGGGAATTATTTTTCCTAAAAATGTAATAGCTGTGTCCTAGTTTCCAGTGCTGCTAATGAGAAATACATGCTATTTGGGTTCCCAATCCTTAGAATGTGATTTTTTTTATTGTTTCTACTTATCCCTGGTATTATGAAATGTAATGATGATTATGTGTTAATTACCAGAGACATGGAAAAGACTATACAAAAGGTGCAAAGTAAACAATCCATAATCCCAATTCATGAAAATAGTTCCTGTTCTGACAGAGTAGAAAATCCACATAATTTACAAGGATCTTGGGGTAAAAACTTAGAAGGATACTGCCTTAGTAATGAGGTTCAACTAGCCCTCCACTAAAGGCGGAATTTGTACCACCTAGCAAAGATTAAAATTAAGTGTCAAAAGGACAAAACTGTTTTCAAATAAGCAAATTTTATAATGCCTGACATCCTATTAAAAAAATTATCAGGTATGCAAGAAGCAAAAAATTGTAAGCCATAATACATAGAAAACTCAATTAACATAAGACAATGTCAGAAACAGCATAGATGACACCAAGGTTATCATTATAATTTTGTAGAAGAAGCTATAGGAAAGATTTGGCATGTTAAATAAAGACATGGAAAACACACACACATTCACATCAAATGACTAGAGAGAAAAACACATGTCTGAGACGAAAAGTGAAACACGTGGGATTAAAGGAATGTATGATATTGGAAAAGCAAATTAGTCAACACAAAGACATGGGAATTGTCCACAAGGAAACAGAGAAAACTTGAAAAAAAAAACAAAATTAACATAGTGAAAATTAACTTATGAGACAATGTCACATGGTTAAATATACATGTACCTGACTCCACCAAAGGAGAGCAGAAAGACTAGGAAGGAAAAATATTTGAAGAAATAAGGGTAATGTTTGCATATTTCTTGTTCCACACAGTATTTCTAACAAAGCACCTGATGGGCATTGGGCATTTAATAAATACTTCTTGAACACATTTGTGGCAGAAAAAAATGATAAAATGAATAAGAAATAAGAACATGGGTGTTATTGTAGGGTGTTAGAATCAATAGGGTGTTAGGAGTTGAAACAATATAGAAAAAGGGAAGACTTAGCAGAAGCGACACATCTTGAGCAGGAACCTGAAAAATGAGTTCAGTTGAATGTGTATGATGCTTGGAGAGTAGGTGATGAAAATGGGCATTCCCTACAAGAACACAGAGAAAGAGTTGGAAACTAGGATAAACATGGTTTTGAATATACCATCTTGACTGGAGTTGTGGTTAGCCTTAGGGATAATTAGAAATGAGGGTAGCTGGATGAGTTAGGGTCAGAGTACTTAAGACTTGAGTAACAGGGAATAGAGAAACCAATGTTTCTGGTGGTGACATTAAAAGGATTAGAAGTGTTGAAGTTGAATGCCAAGAGCAGGCCAGAAGCAACCAGATTATTAAAATGATATGGTTATGAATTTTTAAAAACTTAAATGTGAAAGCATCTCACAAATCAGCACAAACTAAGGGCTTGGATAGGTTAGTAGAATACAAACATGGGGCAAAAAAGCAATTTTTCTTGGCTCATGAAAATTTCAAAAGTGGCCCTAAATAGTATTATTATATTTCTTTTATATTTACATAAGATTCTGAATTAGTTTCTTAAGACTGTTACTGTATAGCACACTAAAGCCTTTCTTCCTATCTCACCCAGTTATGGCCCATTTTCTTTGTACTTGCAGATATGAGGGTAAGATTCAAGCTTTGGCTTTTTAAAATTAAAAATTAATGTAAGGCTTCCAGAACCAAGAATTCATAATGTCATGTACACACTTAACTGTCACCTAATCTTGGCATCCAGGAATTTTAAAAGACCTTGGAGATAGAAACTCTTTGTCTCACAGAGGGAGAAACTGAGGCCAAAAAAGGGAAGTGAGCAGTCCAGAATCCTGGAAGTAGAATCCACTCAGTGTGACTCATCTACAAAGGGCTCCAAGAGATGGAAAAGGCGCGAAGCCAGGGCAGGGAGCAGGAAGCAGGGGAAAAGGGTCTTTTCAATCCGGGAGGCCTGGGAATCCGAGATTCTTGCGACCTCAAAAACAACTGTCTCAACCCCACACTACGAAACGCTACCCTGTAAAATACTTCGCAGAGTGAGCGTTGGTCCTTCCTGATCTCGCGATACCGGTCGATCCTCGCCCTTCCGGCTCTCGCTAGGCTCCGCCTACCGCAGCTTCTCTATCGTCATTTCCTGTCGTTCTGTATTGCTAAGGGAGAAGATGGCGGCGCTGGGAGAACCTGTACGCCTGGAGAGGGGTGAGTGCGGCCGATGCCTGGACCGAGGCGGGTGGAAGGGATGAGGAAGTGCGGTGTCACTAGAGGGAAGGAGAGGCTGCCGAGGCTCAGACTCGGAACCTGCCTGCCCCTTGCGTGGCGGCCGCCAACGTCGCTGTCATCCGCACGGTGGAGGGCGCTTATGATTTTTTGACTGTTTGCTAGACCCCCTCTGTGTTCAGACGCACTGTCCCGGGACATAGCACAGTTAATTACAATCTGCTCACGTTTGCCTACATACGCCGCACACGCATCCTCTGGGTAGGCACAGCAGATGCGGCGTTCAGGGATCTGTAAACCAGAACAACATGTCACACACCCTGTTCGGATCGTCTACACTCGTTGTACATACATTTGCACAAACCTAATGGGCTTGCCTTTACCCACATATCGCACAATACCCGGACACACGGCACATTTTCACAAGAACTCGCCCTCCCTCCTTCGTTACTTTTACCACAGCCTCCCTTGCATTCGTAATTTGGTATTTCCTAGCTTTGGTACCCCCTCCCAGGCACGAGGGTGCTTTTCAAAACAATCCTACTGACTTGATCTTGGAAAGCTTGTTATGTAACTTATGTAAAGTAGTGGTAGATTGTAAAACACTTGGCAGGTGCGATCATATTTTTTTTTTTTACACACCCTACAATTGCAAACCGTGTTTAGTTGATTGCTTCTTGAAGCAAACTGTTAAGAAAGATAAAACCTAGTTTGCTGTGTAATTACAGACCAGGGAATCAGTGAAAATACAAATATTAAGATTTTGAACGCTCCATTGTCTTCCCCAAATCCTTTATTTCAGACAATTCAAAGCTGCTTTTGACACACAAGCATTTGAAGGTTTTTTTGTTTTGTTTTTTGCTTTTGTATTGAACCCCGCTTACTTTACCAGTGAGCTCTCTCCCCAGCCCTCCTAATTTTTTATTGAGAGAAGGTCTCAGCTCAGGCTGGCCTTAAAATTGAGATCCTCCTGCCTCATCCTCCCAAGTAGTCAGGACTGTATCACAGGTATGTATCAAGAAGTACCACAAAAAAATTTTAGCATTGTTGGTAAACAGCATAAAATGTAGATTAAAGTTATTTTGCACATATTATCATTTGAAATTACAGTCTCAATATTCTTCTTTAAGAAGAAGATACATTTTTAGAATTGTATTTAGAAAAGCCTCTTTCCTTATCCCTTCCCACAAACAAATGTGCACATATGATTGTTAGTTTGCTCCTTATGGTGTTCCTCATTTGGAAGTCTTTTTTATAAATAAGGTTGTTTCTCTACAGCCCACCAGGCCATTTATTGAAGCATAATTTTATAACAGAAGAGTAGCTTCTCTGAGTAGACTTTCTAAGATAGGCTTAAGACAAAGGTGACATCTTCCTCCTGAGCACAGTGGCGATGTGCTTTGCAGAAAGGAACAAATCTGTTGGTGCTAACAAGAGTAGGTGTTTTTCTTTTAAAGCTAGTTAGTTGTAGAATTCTAACATGTTGGAAGTCTTGTATTTTTAAATGCAGTACAAAATATGGAACTTCATCCCCTAGCATTTAGTTTTGGTAGTTGTCTTTGCTTTTTGTTGTTGATTTTTTTTTTTTTTTTTAAGTTCTTCAGTAGAATCTTCAGTACCTTGGTAGGGATGAATTATAAGGGGTTCTATTCAGCAGCATAGGAAAGTTAAATTATCTCAGAACTCTGTTAACAAATAACTCCCAGTAATCCTACAGTACAGTATCAGTGCATGTAATCAAGATCTTGAGTGCCAGTTGGGCATAGTAGTGTATGTCTGTAATCTCAGCTACTGCAGAGACTGAGGCAGGAGGATCCTAAGTTCAGAGCGGGTTTTGGCAACTTAGTGAGACTCTTTCTCAAAATACAACAAAAAGGGTTGGGGGTGTAGTTTATTGGTAGAGTGTTTGCCTCGAATGTAAGGCTCTATGTTCAATCCCTGGTAATGGCAGTGGGAGGCAATGGGGAGATAGTGCCTTCTAAATCATCAAAACTTAATTCACAAAGGTACAAAACAGGTAAGAAAAAAATCAAACAGACATTGTCATTGATTGTTGAACATGACTTTGAATCTTGTAGAGTTTCTGAATTAATAAAACACATCCCCACACTTCTCAATGACAATTTACTAACATGTTTAATGGATTTGTATAAATGTATGCAATCCCTTAATATTTCTTAAGACTGATGCCAGCGTAACATAATATTTATGTTTGCTAAGCCTCTTTAAAGATTTGATTTGGTCATCAAATGCCTTTTATGAAGAAAGTGTATTATTTCCATTTTACATTGAAAGGCACTGAGACACAAGGAGGTTAAGTAATTTGTTCAAGGTCTCACAGCTAGTATGAAGAACAGAATCACACAGCTAGTTTTTATTTTTTATTTTTAAAACTACGTATTCGATTGAAATTGTCTGAATTAAAACATTGTGTTAACAATCCTAATTTGAAAACAAATCAGTTAATTTTATTCAGGTTTACTATTAATTTAAATGTGTCCCAGCCACTAACTCCATCTGTTATTGCATATATCATGTTTATCTTTAGGAAATGAACAGTGATTTCACTAGCATGTGGTCTGCTATTCAGTGCTTTGGTTACTAATATGATAACTAAGTAAATTTTTATTGACTAAATAATTCCCAATATTACTACTGGCTTTTCTGAAGCAGTGCAGTTAACTTGTCTGTCACATCTGAGCCCCAGTCCTTTCCTGTGACATTTAGTAGTTTATATTCAGTTTGCCTGTCTCTCAATTATTTTTTAAACTATATTTCTGCAACATGAGAAATTTTTAAATCTGTAAAATTTAATGTGCTCAGATTTTACATTCCTGTTTTCAATGTGTACATGAATAATCTCCTCTCATACAAAAACACAGATGCTTTGTTTTACTCCCTCTATTTTCTGCATACTGTTAGTCCTTGTGGAATTAATCCTAATTCCCACAATGTAACATAGGCATTTCAAGAATCCTTAGAGAAAGTTATCTATCAGTATGTGTTTGTTTAACTCTAGATATTTGTAGAGCAATTGAATTGTTGGAAAAACTACAAAGGAGTGGAGAGGTACCACCACAGAAACTTCAGGCTTTACAAAGAGTTCTTCAAAGTGAGTTCTGCAATGCTGTAAGAGAGGTGAGTAAATATGATTAAAATGTACTAAAAAGTTTAGTTAACTAGCTAAGATAATAGTATGAAATTTAGACTTAGAAAGTCTTAAGAAAATAAGCATTAGGAAAACATTTGAGCCCGTCTTTTAATTTTTGGAATTTCTAATAGAAAACTAATTTACAAGGACACATAATTTTGCCTGAAATTGTAATACATTTAACTTCACAGAGAAATCAAACATGATATATTCCAAGATTTAAAATATAACAACTTTTATGTTTTACAGGTATATGAACATGTCTATGAAACTGTGGATATCAGTAGCAGTCCTGAAGTGAGAGCTAATGCAACTGCAAAGGTAAATTTGTTTATTTACCAAAAGTGAGAATTCTTCATAAATTAGAGGTTGAAAATATACAATTATTGGGTTCATAATAAGCTTATTTTAGAAGCTAGCATAATATCTTTCAAATTATACCAAGCTTCCCAAGTGCTAAGAATAGAACATTTTTATTACTGTGTGTAGTTTAGATAAGGCATCGAAAATGCTTTCACATACAATAATTATATACATACGAAATACCTAATTGTGTTATATACAATATATTTACATGTAAAATATCATCAATTTTATATTTGAGGATGAATTTCTCATTGATGAGGAAGTATCAAGATTAAATTATTTGTCTCAAACCACCACACAAATAGTAAATGGTAGAATAGGGTTATTTGATTTGTCCTTTACCCTAGCTCTGCAAATATGGTATAATGTCAGTAGTAGGCTACCTCTTCAGGACTGAAGATGGAGTTTGTGTGCTTTTCCATACCAGATTTTTCCTCATATTCATTGTGTATTACTTGGTTAGATATGTTAATTCGAGTAGTAGATGACATACTAGACTTAATCATTGCAGATTATTTTTGATTGAGTTCCTGGTTTCCAAAAGGACAGATTGGATTCTCTATTGAATTCAAATACTTAAACTTGTGGATATGGTTTATCAGAGTAGAAAATAGAAATTTAGTTTTTATACCTGAATTGTATAACCTTCACAGCTTATTTAGTTTTTGAGCCTTAGTTCTGTTAGGTAGGAAATGAGAGCTTTTTTGCATCTTCAGATAAGTCTTGATTTTCTTCTTACTCCTTGCACTTTTGTTCATGTACCCTGATCCACCTTGAAAAAATGGTGCCAGATTCCTTGATTAACTTTAAAAACATAATGAAACAGGAAAATCTTAATTTTGTGTTAGAATTCAAAGAGGATATGGCTCTATTAAATCTTCTGTGGGCTTTTTTTTTTTTTACTTGTAATTAGATAGTTTGCTAGAGCAACAAAAAATATTCATGTTGGCTATATGTGTGCTTGCTTTTCTTAATATAAAGACAATTCTTGATGTATTATTTATTTTGTGTATGTACAAAGAGTATACAAAGAATATAGCAGCTAAAATGACTAATATATATATATACAAGGACAACTCTGTGTGGGTTGTTATAGGTATGGTGTATTTTACACAAATGTCAGGCTATCTGGCCTTAAAGCTCCGGACTGTTAGTGTATTAGGGTAGAATATTCCTCTTTAATACACGGAATGTTATGTGCCCAGCAAGCCTGCTTATCAAGCCCTGCACACATGGAACTACACAAAAGTTCTAGACAGTGGATGAGAGTGTGCTAAAAAATTCTGTTTCATACATAGTCCTGGAGTATGTATTCTTTTCAGTTACCATTTCTTTTTTGGGAGTTGGGAGTATCAGGGATTGAACTCAGGGGCATTCAACCACTGAGCCACATCCCCAGCCCTTTTTTGTGTTTTATTTAGAGCCTTGCTGTTGCTGAGGCTGGCTTCGAACTCGCAATCCTCATGTCTCAGCCTCCCCTTACCATTTCTTAAAAACCTCCGCTTAGCTTCTCAGAATAACCAATGAATTTGTGAATACTCATACATCAAAAATGTGCCTCACAATGCAGAATGAATTCTTTAAAAATCATGTTACATGCATTCATAAATATACCACAGGAATTTCATCTTTATGTATAAATAAAAAGAACCAGTCAAATATAAATGAATGGACTAGCCAAAGGAAGTCAAGGAAATTGGGGGGGGAGGGGGGCTTATGAACTGAATTTGAATTTCATGTAGCATGAGTTCATCAAGATGAATCCATCTACTATTTATAACTGTAAAGCTCTGATTAAGAGAGAGAGAGAAAGAGAGTGTGTGTGTGTGTTTATACATGCCTCAAAAGTAGTTTGATAGATCAGGGATATACCTCAGTGTTAGAGTACATGTTTATTAATGTGTATGAGTCCCTGGGTTTAATCCCCAGCAATGCCAAAAAATAAAACAAAAAAAAGTATTTTTTAAAAAGAGATGAAAGAACTGAGGTAAACAAAAGTCATATATTTTAAATATGTAAAATTTTCTTTCAGGCTACTGTCGCTGCGTTTGCTGCCAGTGAAGGACATTCTCATCCTCGAGTTGTTGAGCTACCCAAAACAGAAGAGGGACTTGGGTTCAATATTATGGGAGGCAAAGAACAAAACTCTCCAATCTATATATCTAGAATAATTCCAGGTGGAATAGCTGATAGGCATGGGGGCCTCAAACGAGGAGATCAACTTCTTTCTGTTAATGGAGTGGTAAGGATGAATTTTATTTATATTTGCAGTAATGTGCTGTGACCACTTGGGGGTGTCTGTGGATTGTAGAAACAGAAGATGCCAGTGCAAAGGATTAATAAACTTTGTAGTTTAAGAATGCCTTAAGCTAATGCTAGGCAGTACTGTTTAGGACAGTGGTTGTTTTTTGTTTCTATCTTTTTAAATGCAGCTCTGGGGATTGAAGGGGAAGAGGGGTGGCCGGGCTTTGCTCATACTGGTCAAGTGCTTTATCATTGAGCTCCGTCCCCAGCCCAGTGATCTTTTTAAGGCACTAGAAAAGTGGTTTGCATCCCTTCAATGTAAATTAACAGTGCTTAGTGGGATTTTTATTACATAATTAAACTCTTCAGTAGTTAAAACAGTATACTAAATTAGAAATGTACCGTCATTTTTACTTTTTCTAGAATGGCAGTTGCTTGATTAAATTCTGACATAGTGCAGTAATAAGACATGTATATTGAAATGCTAATTACTTGGAACTTAAAAAATGATTTCGAGACTATAAGCAAAATTGATGTATCACTGGATTTCACACTGATAATACAAGATTAGCATTGAAAGGATGCAGTATCTCTATAGCTGTACTACCCTGAATGTGCCAAATCTTGTGTGAATTGATGCAATGAAGACTCTCTTTACTTAATTTTAAATCTTTATAGTTGTCATTACTCTTAAAACCTAAGTATTAATTGTGTGTGTGCATTTTTTTCCAGAGCGTTGAAGGAGAACATCACGAAAAAGCTGTAGAACTGCTGAAAGCAGCCCAAGGAAAGGTTAAATTGGTAGTACGGTATACACCCAAAGTCTTAGAAGAAATGGAGTCACGCTTTGAAAAAATGAGATCTGCAAAACGCAGGCAACAGACCTAATACATTTAAAACTTTATATTCAATTTTGCTTTTTAGCTAGAGAAGTTTTACTTGTGACCTACTGATGGCCACAATGCCAATGATTGTAAAAAAAAATACAAACTTCCCTTGAAATCCTCCTTGCCATTTTATAAATGCCTATTTTAACATCATTTATGGTTCTAGAGATGCATACACTTTTTTCTGACAAGAAAAAGTAAAAGGTGTTGAGGGCAATTCTGTCCTGCTGTTTTTACAGACCTTTTTCAAATGCAGATTTTGTCATAAAGTTGTTATAGATTTTTAAAAATGCTTTTTTAATATTAAAATGTACTTTTACATTCTTAATCTTTTTTTAAGAAGAATGTTTTCTTCATCTGGCTACTTATTTAAAATTAACAGTTCTCCAACTTTTTTTTTTTTTTTGCTTACTATATTTTCTTTTAACCTCTGAAATTTCTTTACGATTTCCAAGAAATTAAGTATGGCAGTCTCACCTACAGCACTTCATTACCCTGTAGTTGTTAACATCATTGCTGCATTTTGTACTTTGAACATACACATAATATATATATAATCAATGGTAGATAATAACACAGCATATTGGAAGTTTTTTACTTTTATTTAAACATGTATAATGAGTATTCGTTTATACTGATTTATAAAAGTAAGTTTTAAACACTGAAACAATCATCGCCTAAAATATGTATTTCATAATATTTAAGCAGTGAGGCAAGAGGATGTAATTTGACTATTAGCATTAATGATTATATCCCTTTCTAATTGTAGTCAACAATATATCAAAAAGTATAAATGCGAAACAGGTTCAGATTTCATCTTGCAAATTTTTTTAAGGCTATTGATTTTTATTTGAGTACATTTCTCATGGTTTGGTCTTTCCATGCCTAGAGATGAGCCAGTTAGTTTGTGGTGGGAAATAGCAGAAAGAAAGAAGAAAAATTTAACCTCACTAGTCTTAAGTTATACATCTAGGTCATTTTAAAGAATCAATGTTAAATAGGAAAAGGAGGATATGTTTAAGATCTGTAAAAACTATGAGGTGATTTGATAAGAATCTGTAGATTGTCACAATGAATAGGAACTCATTTATATTAAAACGGTTGGATTTAGGGATGCAATCTTTGTTTACGATTCAAATATAATGGGAATTTTGAAAGTTACTTTGTCATTTGTCCACTGGATGTCACTCTTTTACTAAACGGCAGCTATTAGTATATGACTGTGACTGAGTTCTTCATAAAAGCTGAAATTAAAGAGTTAATTTTCAGTCACAATTCATAGGAACATTTCTACTTTTTTTAAAAATTGTGAATGACATGCTAAAAGAAGATGGATTTAAAAAAATAAGAATTTGGCATAATTATCAATCCTGTATTTAAAAAAGTGGGCATTGTAACATTCCTTCAGGAAGAATAGAAATTTGTATACCTTTTTCTGCATGTTTGTGAGCACTGTGAGTCTTAAAAGATTATTCCAGTTTTCAGTGATTTCTCAGAATATAAGTCAATCAGCATTGTTATTTATCATTTAGGTATTGAACACTGGATTGCATGGTTGAATGTGTCTGTAGTCCACTACAAAACATGCTTGTTATTGATAGGATCATGTTGTTAAATTGTATATTTTCAAAATTAATTGGTGTGTTTTTAAAATGTTGGGACCAAAGTAGTATAGAAGAATTATGGACTTAATTTAATTGTAAAATTATTAGAGGTATTTGTTGTAGAGCTTTATATATTAAAGAGAAGTATTGGTGCATATAAAAACATTAATGTTATTGTTATGCTTGTATTCTTGCATTACAGGGTAAATAAGCCCTGAAGAAATCTTATTTTAATATAGCTACAGCTGTAGTAGCTTTTAGGATATATCAACATTTCCTTATAAATTATAGCTTCCTGGTTCAATGTCTCAGCTGTATCCAAACTTTCAGCCAAGTTAAATCTTTTTTGGTGTTGAATCTCAGTAAATTAAGTAAGCTGGGGGTTTTTTTTTTTTTCTTTCGAAGTAATCCACAATCTGTCTTTGTGTGGGTTGGCACCTATTTATAATTCTTAAAATAAAGATAGCTTAACGAGCCAAATACAGTAGTTTTGCTTTGTACTGTTGAGCATGAGTAGCAGTAGTTTGTTTTTATTAATGCAATTTTCATAGTATATCTCAGAATTTTAAATCTTATCATAGAACGGTTCAGTCAATAGCAAAGATACACAAAGGTGGTCTAGTATGATGAGGAAATGAAGGAATTTTCATCTTGTAAATGGATGGTTTGTGAATAAAGCTAGGCATAAAGTAAATATATAATCGGTGCTTGATTTGTAAATTACAAATGTTAACCCCCCTTCCATTTTTTTCTTTAATTTTCTTATTACTTCAAAATGAATTGACTCAGTGTTTCTCAACCTTAGTTGCATATTAGAACTCAAAAATTATTAACACTTGAGTCCCCTCCCATACAACTAAATCAGAGTAACTTGTTTAAAAAAAAAAAAAATACTAGATGGTTCTAAGGGACATCCAGGGTTGAGAACCGCTAATTTTGTTTTCAAGTATCAGAATAGAATACTTCAATTTGTAGCTACATGCTAATTGATTATATTATTTATTTAGGCATAAAACATACTTGGCATTTCTTATTTGGAAAGTAATAATAAAACTATTATTTTTTCTTTTATTAAAAAACTAGTAGTTTAAATATAAACTTTTAATGTTTCATCTTTCTGCCCCTTTTGCTTTAAAACTTACAAAGATAGTGTTTATTCTTTGAAAAAGCAGCTTAAAAATTACAGATGAGAAATATTGTCATTGATAATTACATGCTGCTTAATATGGTCACTATCTTTTACTGTAATGCTAGATTATAGTGGCCTAGTTCTTTAAAAGTTTGATGATTCAGATATGTAGGGAGTTATTTTGTTTTGTTGTCATTTTCCTCCTTTTCCAAATTTTTAGTTTATGTTTTATTTTTTCTTGTCAAGTATTTAAATATTTTGGCTCAAATAGTTTGTTTACAATTAAAATGGATATTATAGCATTTAGTAGAAGAAATAGTATGGCTTATCTGGAAAGAATGTCAGCATGACTTGGTATAGACTTAATACATGTTGTGAATATTTTATAATGTGGAATGATCATTGAAATATTAAGGACTCTAGTAATTGTATTTCCTGAATAAATGTATGTTTATGAATTTTTTTAACTTACAGTTTGTTCTTTCCTCTGCCAGCAGTCTAGTTTTATAGTTTTTATTGTCCAAAATTCATTACTGTTGTTTCTTTAAAGGTTATTATAGTAATAGTTAAATAATGGAGAAAAACAAGTCACTTGCTATCTCATTGCTTTTCAAGAACTTTAAAACTAATTTGTATCTGGACATGGTTTTTAAAAATACTGGCAAATGATATGCTTCTACTTTTTTAGTTCAAGATAATATTTCTCCAAAATGGATGTAAAATAATACTTTTTCAGCAGATGACTTCATTTATCAATTTAATTCTGATTCTAAAGCTTATTTAAAATAAATTTGTATGTGTTATGTCCTTGTTCTTTGAAGTTGAAAAAAATATATAATTAGAAATAGATGTGTTTCTGAACTCTGTTATCAAATAATTTTGCATAAGGTAAAAATACAGTTCATGGTGATTGCCTAAATGAAACTTCAAGTTTCTATATTTTGCTTTGTCTTTCATAAAATGTAACTAAAGGAAAATTTTTGTTTTTTCAAGAGAGGCAGTGTGGTGTGTGATTGACAGCACAGCTTGTGGGCACCAGCTTCGATGATTTTAATCCCAGTTCTGACATTACTGTGAATGTTAGATAGTTACTAAGTTCTTCATTCCTTAGTTCCCTCATCTGTCATCTATAATAAGTGTGCCTATAAGTGTTATGTCATTATTGCCACTATCTTAAAGCCCTTAGAAAGATGCATAGCAAAATACGTACTATTTGTGTTTGCTTTTATCTTCTCCCCCATGTAAAATAGCTTTAGGACCTTATCAGCAAAAAAATAATCATAGTCCAGTAATTCAAATTAGCAAGTTCGTATTTTGAAGTCCAGAAAATGGGATCTTTAAGCTATGCTTAAAAATTTTAGGAAGACTACCATAAAGAAATTACACATTTCTGTCCAAAGAAACTCATGGAATTCTAACATTAGTGCAGTTTTTGAGAAGTGGAAGATTTGGACCACACTCAGACTGAAAATCATTGGAAGATAGGTGCAGGTAAGGGATTTGTTAAATAGAAAAGCAGTTTGTAAAAGATGATCTAGATGGAAATAGTTAACTGCTGGTGTCATGTGTTATAAGGCATAATTCATCATCATGATATATATATATATATTTTTTGGCAGTGGGTGGGATTGGATTTAGGGCCTCATGTATGCTAAGCAGGTGCCCTACCGCTGAGCTACACCCCCAGCCCCCTGAACTTCTAAAAAGGACAGGGGTGATGCTGGAGGTGTAGTTCAGTGGCATATTATTTGCCTAGCATTGCATAAGACTAGGTGTAGGTTCCATCCCCAGCACTGCAAAAAACAAAAAGACACAAAAATACATGATAATGTACTGGGCAACCAGGATTTAATAAAAGAAAAAAAACATGTTAGGCCTTACTTTCTTCAAAATTTCAGTAAACCAGACAATTCCTTAAATCTTTAAATTATTTAGTCATGTTTAGTATTGTTGATTGCTGTGATTTTAATATAATGAAGTGACCTAGGTTTTTATACATTTATTTCTTCAGGGGCAAATAATCTTCACTTGATGAATTTTTTAAGCTTTATATACAAAGCAAGGGGTAAAACTCATACAGAACCCATTTGTCAGTTTTCTTCCTTGGATTTTACATTTTAAGAAAGGGACAAACCTAGAGTAATGGTATATGCCTCTAGTCCCAGCTACTTGGAGGCTGAGGCAGAAGGATTGCTTGATCCCAGTTTTGAGACTCTTGAACAA